CGTGTTTTCCAGCTCACCACTTACTGGGAAAAGACCTTCAAGTTGGACTTGTTCAGGCCTCAGATCGGTGTGGTCAACGTCACAGATGTAAGATGAACTCCGCTCCGGTACAACAAGTCAACAGTCCTTACAGAGAGGTCCATTGTGCATTCCAGGCGGACAGCGTGTGGCTCGACATGTCCAACGATGAGGACTTACCCACTGCCGAGGAGCTGGAGGACTGGATCGAGGACGTCCTGTCGGGCAGAGTTAACACAGAGGACGATGATGATGACGACTTGGAAGACGACCGCGAGGACTTTGAGGAGGACTTGACGGAATACGGCGACGAGAACCTTGACCGAGATGATGACCTATATGACTGAGCCCGTTAGCGGCTTTATCATATCGCTTTACTTCTCATTCGGCTGAGATGTCCACTTAGAGATTGTACGCGAACGCTGAGAGATTGGATCTCTTCTCTTGAGATGACGTGAATGCAAGCTAATGCTGAGTAGGTGCCGTGATCGCTGCGCAAGAACAATACAACATTGGCTTTGTGACTGAAGTAAAAATTGGCACAGGAATTGACTTCCTAGTTTTTTCCGTGACCATGCTAGGAACTCAAATCAACTTTCCCCACTGAAATGATTGGGGATGTCATTAATCCGTTCCAACATCCTTAAAAACACCAGTAAAAAAAACGTTGAAACCTGTTTTGAATTAGATAGCGGTCGACAGTATGGTACTTTACAAAACGATGAAATACAAAGAAGAATATCTCAACTAAGCTGCATTAATATTCGTGTTTATTTTGCAGAGGATAAAGAATATATGTCTGTGAGTATTGTAGTATGCTATGGCATTTTGCATTCTGTGTTAGCATTAAGGTAGCGGACTTTCATGAGACAAAATTCATGTACATCATGTTTCTCTTGTTCAACTTTTAAAGTAAATAAACTCGGAGTAGCACTAAACAGCTTGAAGACTCTTTTTGAAGATTTGTTCACCATCTGTTCAACTGCTGCTTGTTGTGGCTTTGCTGCCACCTTAGCCCCCCCAAAAAATACATACAATTGGCAGTTTGATGCCTTGTATTTTGAAAAACTCCGAAGTCGAGTTAAGTTGCATTTAGGCTGAGAAAAGTAATAACTCGCCCATTCTGAACAAGTTTTAATGTTTTGAACGATTAAGGAAGCTCGCCCAAATTCAGCTCATTAAAACAAGGGGCGGACCATTCTTTGAGATTTCCAATGCAGACCGCAGTGTATTTGATTTTTCTCACCCAATGTCAAAGAGACAAAACGAACTACCTGGCCCGAGTTGTTTTGACCACATAGTTTAGCCCGCGTGTCCATCAAGCAGGAGAGAACATTTGCTTGCATCCATCTACACATAACCACGACATTACCAAATAAATAGGAGGAAAAGCATTCCATTTAGATGCAAATGTTCATTTCCTTCTTGACCCTTTTCCATCCTGCAAGGAAAAGATATATAGGGGGGGGGGGAGGTGTGAAGCCGACGACGACAGATGAGTTGCGACAGGGGGACCCAGACACTGTATTTGCCCGGGGACGATGCTATCCATTTTTCGCACCAGACATTGATATTCAGGCCTGGCACGCCAATTACGGAAAACGAGACGTATGACATTTGTGCTCAGAACAAGAACGCATATTGTAAATTACCAGTGGGGTGAACCTTAACATTCAAAAGCATATATCTTAAGACACAGCAGTTGTACAAACGATGATAAAAATGTTTTAATTTCCTCCCCCCCACACAAAGGCCGTAAACTGGCAACGGCGTGACAAATGGTGATGAAAAGGAGTCATGAGTGACATCGTGACCTTCTGAAAATAATAGGACAAGTCATATTTTGACTTTTCTTTCTTTTTTTTTTGCCTTCAACAGCTCCTCGTGATCCTAGTCGCCTCTGCTAAAACAGACGACATCCTTCGATAATAAATATCAAGTAATTGGTATTAAAAATGACATGGGCCATTATTTTAGGAAGGTGACGATATGAGTAAACATATCTACTGTACATACATACATACAGTTTGTGTACACACAAACAGATACAGTGTATTGGCATCGACAAAGCGTTCATCACTCAGTAGTTCTGTTCAATGTTCACCAGGTGGCGGTAGCGTACAACCCTGACCGGGAGACATGAACACACGATTCCAGTGATCATAAATCACTTTTGTTTTTTTTCTCACCTGAACTGAAACTATCCAACTTGGTCCTCAGGCAGGATGGACATGAGTCCCGAAGATGTGCTGAAGCGGTAACTGGGCTCTGGACTGCGACTCCAAAACGAGTCGGCTTGTATGGATACTTTTTCGTCATTTGAGAGAAGTAAAGAAATCCAAATCCAGTCCATCCAATCGAAAGGGAAGTTTGCGACCTTAAACGTCCCAACGTTGCCATCGAGTCTTGATTCAGGCTTATCACATGCAGAACATCCTCCGAGATATTTTTTTTTTCTCCATATGTACATGTGATCATTCATATTTCTGTCCAAATCTAAAATAACATTCCTCAAACGTAAAAAAAAAAGGTGTGTGTGATATATATAGATCCATAAAAAAAAAAAAAAGACAAGTAAAAATAAACATGACCTACAAAAACCCCTACACCGAGGTCTCTGATTGTAACCGCAGGACAAACTTGTGGGATTTGGGGTCAATGTACTCCTCTGACAAGCGAATAAAGGGGATCTTCTTGACGGACACCACCAGGCTGAAGTCCGCGCACCTGAGGACAAAGACAGCGCCGTCTCGAAGGCCGCTGGTGACTGAGGCCTCGCTGACCAGAGTCCACTGACTCGCCAACCAGTGGTCCCGGCTGTACTGCAGAGTCGGGCCTGGTTTCAGGTAACTCTCCAGGAAGGCCTGCGGGAGACACACACAACCACTTTTTCTTCACCTTTCATTTATTGAACAAGCTAAAACAAGCCGGCCGTGTCAGGTAAGATATGCTAAGCAGTTACATATTGTTTTTATACAAATTGTCTAGAGCTGCATCTACTCATTAAATAACTTAATGGGGCATCAAAGCCCCAGAGTGTTGCGGGGACCACATTATACAATATACCGAGTTATCGATGTTTGCTCATTTATTATAACCTGCCACCCAAATTAAAAAACACTCTCACAAGTTGTCAAGGATGGCCACTTTCAATTTCATGATGCACTTTCTTCTTTGAACAAGCAGTACTAAATGGTAAAAAGTGGTCAATAAATATGTAAATCGTATTCTTACACAACGGCCACCACTGACGCCCTGATTAGCCCAGTTAAAAGCCAGCTTTCATTCACTGACGCCCATGTCACTCACCAGGTTAGACCCCACTATTTAAAGACATGCACACTCTTAGTCGAATAATACAGCGCAGAACGTGAGGATGGAAACCCCAAGTGGACTGTCATTGTATCTGTGTTTGCATGGCGAGTTTGAGAGAAAAAAAAAAACAATTGGTGGCGAGGAGGTACTTAGGTAGACCCCTGGTGGAACCTTCCGGACAAGAATCTTTTTTTGTGTGTGTGTGAAGTGGATTAAAAACAAACTACCAGCATACATTGGGAAGTTCCAGTAGTGGTTCCTGCGTTTTGAAAGCGTCGACAGTAATTATCCAGACAGGCCGAGGTCCACAAACCCCCCTCCCCCACCCGCATTTCTGAAGAGAGAAGTGACAAATGGAGGCCTGACCTTGGGTGACATGTTGTTGCTGATGCAGAAAGCCAGGTGCTGTTGAATGCTCTCCATGCTGTGGCAGTGCTGCTGTTTGGTTGTCCTCAAATACTTCTGGAGGGTCCGCGCCATGGACGGGAAGATGGCTTGCGCTGCCTCTCGCGGGTCCATCACGTCTCCCGGAATTTTCTTCTGCTCCTCTTCCTTCATGTGCTTGATATGAGTGAAGGCCTCTTCGACGGCGACCACCAGTCTAGCAGCAGAAAGCGGAGTGCAAGCGTGACATCATGGGTCAATACCAGAGGAAATCATCGGATATCTGGCCATTACACTGGCAGGAAGAGAACATGTAAGAAACAGGGAGTATAAAGGTGCCATTTAAATATTTGGAAGCAATTTGACTCTCGCTATGCTTAGCTTTGACTTGAGAGCAAAAAATTCAAGATATACGAGCGCTGCATGGTGGAAGTGAACTCAACTCCATTCACTTCACAACAAGCAGCAGTTTGGCGTATCATGAACAGTTAAAAAAAAAAAAAAAGATTCAAGCTTTTTATTTCTCACTGGCTAGGTGATGTTCACTCACAAACTTAACAGAAAATGTACACATTATGTATTTAAAACCACCAAGTAGCTTTGCCTCATCTTCTGCAAACTGATAAGGGAAAAAGAAATAGATGAGCGAACAAATATCATCGGTATTGCGGCGTTATAACCTTTGAAGCAAACGATGGCTGAACACAAATGGTGTAGCAGCACATGTAGATGCACAGGCATGTATTATTTATCCTGTGTGAATCACTGCAGCTTATTGAGGAATGACATGCATCTCTGCATGTCTTGTATTATACTGCAGTCCCCAAAATGGTTTCACGTTTTAAATTCAAATCAAGTACGTCATTATTCTGTGTTTCGAAAGCGCAATACGACAGTGTTATTTTTCTCTTCAAAAAAAAAAAAAAACATTCAATTTTTAAGGAGTTAAACCGGAACAAATTATTGGGATTTCCATTCATTTCAACAAACAAAGACAATTTCAGATATGAGTGTTTTGAGTTACAAGCGTACATAACGGAACGGACTAAATGAATATGTTAGGGCACCACCGTATTATTCAGAACGTTTACATTGAAAAGCAAAATAAGTATCATATATGGGTCATGCGTGCTGAGATCATGACGTTTAAACCACTGGTGAAAGGGGTTGACTTTGAGTGTCGGTTGTGTAGTATTTGAAGAGGTGCAGCAAAAAAAATAAAATAAACATAAAAAATGGTTTGAGTAAATTCAGTCTTCCTCTGGGGAACCGAAAACAAACAAACTACAATGGTGGTTAAGGATTCAAGAGACTCTTGAGAATGCCGATCAAGAGGAAGCCAAGTTTTTCCCGACCCATTGCCACCACTCACCGGGCTCTCCGTTTGCGCACTCGCCTCTCGTGCTCGGCCTCCTCGTAGTAGAGCTCGTTGTGGCTGGAATCCCGGCAATGGGCGGCGGCTGCAATCATGGCTCTGGACTGCGAGTGCGCCATTCCTGTGGCCGCGTTGTTCCCCGGACCTGTCGCAACACACACAAACGAGAGGGGAAGGATGGCAAGAATGACTCTGCCGCAATTCATAGATGTATATTTTTTGCACATTCTAGTTGCGGCCTTTTTTTTTAAGGGGTGCGCATCTCTCCAATAAAAGACAATTCATAATCCGATACGTCTATTGATTGGATCTCAATACACTGAAACTCCTCTACAACGAAATCATGTTTGCAGCAAGAATTTTTTCACAACAGGGGACTTTTCACTGTAGCAAATTTTATGTCAGACGTAAACACGAACACACACAAAAAAAGGTATATGTGTAATTTTTATTTTTATTCCAATAGTGCATAAGTATGAGCATACACTTATTTGACACTTAATATAGCCAGCATAGAAAGAAAAAAAAGGGAAAGAAATTGCAAAATTTAGGATCAGCATTTACTTTCACTTACATCAATTTCTTGCACAATGTCTTTTATTTTGCTTCCTCCATCTTTCATTTTTATGACCTTTATCCTGTCTTCAAGCGTTCAAGCTTTTCTTTTCTGAACTCCTTGGTATGAAAAGGTCCGTTTTATCGCCATTTTCGCAATGCAACGTTCATGCTGGGTCTGAAACAAATACTTCCTGTACTACTGCGCATGTGTAAACCAGTGTGGTGGTTGCTGTTGCCGTTTCCGAACGAAGCAGTAGAGGTTGCTGTGGCATGCTGAGGTTGGATTAGACTTTTGCGGAAGGCTTGTTTTTGTTGTAGTGAATCTCGTTGTGAGGCAAGAGCAGAGAAAAAGATTTCGCATAACGGACGAGGGGGACTTTTCGTTGTGGGGGGGAGCAGAAAAGTGGGAATGGCTTTCATGCATGAACATTTTTTTACACTAGGGGGTATTTTCGCCCATATAGGTTTCGTTGTAGAACTATTTCACTGTATATGGTGTGCAATACCATTCAAGGAAGTTATATTTGAAAGGGGAGTGATTTGAATTGGCGCAATTCGAGGCACTCCCGTATTTTAAATCAAAACCCCATTTTCCGATTTAAATCGTTATTTTGTTACACCCTTAGTAGGGATTCTGAACATGCATAAACCTTGGATTTTTCCTCTTTTCATCTGGAATAACCTTGTGAAATTCAGAATGGTTCTGCGCTCTAACATTGCTCCAAGCTACTGTTGTACCGTTCACAAAAGCGGATTCTTGTGCCCGATCCTGAGTGGTGCAAATGCAGGTTAAGAGATGGCAGCCTTGATAAATTATTCATGCGGACCAAAGAAGGCGCAGAAATGGAATAATTCATGAAGAGAGCAGCGGGGGAGTTTTTCGGCATATCCTGCTTAGAATGACAGCGCTCAGGTGGGATGGATGGATGATGACGTTTCAAACGTTGACACGTTTGCAACTCCGGGGAAAAAATACAAGCGGGCAGCAGTTTGTCAGGAATCATCAAACTTATTGAATTAAATTGGATGAGCAATTCAACAAGAGTGGAAATGAATAGCAAAGGCTTGAGAGGGGATGACGGGTGAACGCAAGTGAAGCGGTGCAAGGGGGGGAAAAAAACCCCACAATGTCAGCCATTTTCTTCGAACATGGAGACAAATGCAGGGGAGAAAAAAAAAGTGAGCCAGGTTAGTGCACTTGAGTGATGACACCGAGTACGGGTGATAATTTAACAACATCTGCGTGTTACATTCACACAGTGGACTGAATATTTGACATGAACTCGCGGCATGCCATAAGTGTGAGTGTGTGGCATTTACAAGGTGCACACGCTGTGCGCAAATCTGTGAGTGAGAAGCATCAGCGTTAAGTTGACTTACTGTTCAACAGATACGCTCTGAGTTTAGCTTTAAAGACTTCAAGAGAAAACACCAGGAGAGGAGACAGTCAATGACACACACAATTTAGTGAAGCAGGAGGGCTCGAGGCACAGCGGGAGCTTACGCACACACACACACACACACGCACACACACCTTCGGCGGGGGCCGCGGGGAAGTCCCCGTCGACGTTATAGACTTTGAGACCAGCCAGGTGCTTGGCGGCGCGGGACTTGGAGGCGGCGAGCAAAGCCGGGTTATGGATGGCGAAGTCACAGTAGTAGCGCTCCAATACGGCCAGTGCTGCCCGCTGAATACTGCACACAAAAAAAGTCCACCTCATCATATTCACACATTTGAAGCACATGATTTCAAAGCCAGGAATCCCAAAGGTACACTGGACCTGAACAGCCAAAGTCAAATCCGCACCGCAATGTCGAAGAATGCAATTTTCAACTCGCAAAGGTTGCAATTGGAATCAATAAAAACAAAACAACCCTCAAAATGCTCCATTTTGGTCAACTGGTCGGCTTTTTCAGCATACACACACACACACACACACACACACACCCACACACAAACACACACACACACACAGAGAGAGAGAGAGACAGAGAGAGACAGAGATAGAGAGAGAGAGAGAGAGAGAGATACGTTCAGTGCTTAAAAAGTGCGGTCCACGTGTTTCCGTATTGTTTCACGAAACATGAAAAGTTGATCAAGCCACAGTTTTGTTTGAATTCCTGTTACGTCCGATTTATGATTGACTGACTCTTTTTCATGCCACTGTTGTTCAGTAGAATTTTGTGAAGTTCTCTTCCCTTTTGTTTTCTTTTCACATCGAGAGTTTTGAAACGTGTATTTGTGGCCCTTTCGGATTTGTATACGAGTACCCCAGTCGTCTCCAATCACTCCTCCGATCGCTTGGCACTTCTCTCACCTGAGTTGTCCCAAGTTATAGTGCCTGGTCTCTCCGTCTGTGGAACGCGTGACACACACGGAGTAGTAGGGCCGAAGCTGCCTTAACTCCAGCAGCACGATGGCCAGGTAGTGAATGAAGAGCAGCGCGTCCACCAGCGACACGGCGTATTGCACGATCCCCTGGTAGTCTTCATCCTAGAGGGCACAAACGTGAGGATAAGGCCAAAGTCGAACGCCGCCAGTCACGAGGTGTTCAAAAGGCAAGCAAAAAGCAGGTATGAATCTCAAATTTCTCTTTCAGCCCACCTATCCCAACACTTGAGCCCTTGATGCAAATCGAACACGCATTCAGGAGCGCATCACGTTCTCACCTGCGAATCCAGTATCCTCACGCCATAGAACAACCAATAGGAGACCACAAAGAGCAGCACCAGAACAGCAAGCAGCGCCCGGAAGACAAAGAGGCGCGGGAGGCTGGCTCGTGGCGGCCGGAAGAAGAGCGCCCAGACGGCAAGCAGCAGGATGAGCAGCTTGAAGGCCACAGAGATGAAGAGGCCTTCGCAGGCCGTGCCGCAGCTCTGCAGTTTCTCGGGCCAGAGGAGGTGGGGGAGGACCAGGAAGGCCAGCGGCGAGAGGAAGACCAGGAGGCCCAGGACGACGGCGAGCGTGAGCGTAAAATAGCGGCGGCAGTCCAGCCCCACACTCTCCTCCAGGTCTTTGGTGATGCGCACAATGTCTTCCTGAGAGAGGCTGTGCTCCGATGTGCCGGTCACAGCCGTGGTGGTCTCGCCCCAGTTGTCATCCTGCAAACGGGACGTTTTAAGAACAATCAAGGGGTGACATGCTCCTTTGGCTTACTCGTTTTTTTGTTTTTTTTAATTGATGATTTACAAGATACAAGCAAAAGCACGAAAACGTACACCGCACAAATGACCACCCAACGAATCAAAATCTCTGCTTCAAAGCGTCACGGTGATGATTTTTCCACATGGACGAACATAACGGTGCCCACGCACAACTCCGCGTAGAAATAAGTTGGTGTGACTTTGAATTGTAAAAATCAATACACATTGGATTACGTAATGAATCGATGGGATCATCTGGAGATTAATCGATTCTAAAACTATTGAATAGCTGCAGCCCTTCCAAATTGTCTTCTGTCATTTCATATTTACAGTATATTCATCACAAGCAGGTCACATTCTTTGAGACAGACAAATAAAAACACAACAAACCAAAGAGTGTCAGAGAACTGATACACGCCCCCCCCCCAAAAAAAATCACTCACATTTTTTTTGTGGTTCTGAGGGTTATCCCCTTTTTTTTCAATAATTTTTGGGCGGATAAAAAAATGACACGCCAATTTTTGCGACTAGAAGGTCAGCCCGGTGACCTGTGGGTCTGCTGTATTATTCTTATTTAAATTATTGTCTTTTACATTTTCACAGACAGCACTTTGTCACAACTGTGGTTGTTGCGAAAAAAAATAAATAAATAAATAAAAGTTGTGTACAGTTGAATTTAATGTGACGTTGCATTTGCGGTTGATTCGTGGTTTGTTCTCCAGTGCACTTGTTCGTGAATGCATCAATTCACTGGATCATGTTCAATTTTTCTCCGACCTCATGAGAGAAAAGAAAAAGTTGTCTCATCAGGAGAGAAAGGAAGGGATCAAAAAAATGGAGAGCAGAAAAAGAAAACAGTGCGCGATGCCAACTTGGGGCTTCCACTGACGTGAGGGTGAGACTGTATCCGCAGATAATGAAGGTCAGCCATGTTGGAGCGGAGCCCCTTAGAACAACAACGATAAGGACTCTTTGCAAAGCAGTCATAACAAGCTTCCGGCACAAAGAAGAGGAAACACTGGCTGTCAAGTGGGGGGTTGGGGGGGGCGGTCTGGCTGTCTGGGGGAGTTGGAGGAAGGTGCTCTGGGAAAGAAATAAGCCTCTGGCCTCGGGGTGAGAAGAGGGTGACCAAAGTATCACAATGGAAGGTTTGAACTGGAAGTGTGGACGTTGACTCACTGATTAGTCACTGAATTGACACGACCCCAAAACACACCAAGTGGTCGTTAAAAAAAAAATAAATAAAAAAAATAAAAAGATAAATCAATAGATGATTGATTATCTCTTCAGGGAAAAGGTTTTTTTTTTTCCGCTCGCTCTCTAAATTTTAAGTGTTTGGACTTAAACACACTCACCTTTCCCACACTACCCACCACACCTTTTGTTCTTTGCCATGACGTTTAAAATCAGAAGTCAAGAATAATGACTGTGATTGTGCATTACATACGACAATTTGAAATTTTGGTTGAGACTTTCGCAAGCATCATGGAACTTGACATGCTTGATTTGCTTTCGCGGGCCACATCAACTGATGTGGCGGGCCAGATCTGGCCCCCGGGCCTTGACTTTGACACCTGTGCTCTCAATTGTGAGTGTGAGCGCTACGTGTGCCCTGCGATTGGCTGGCAAGCAGTTCAGGGTGTCCCCCGCCTACTGCTGGGAGAGACTCCAGCACGCCTGTGACACTCGTGAGAAAAAAGCGGATTAGATAATGGATGGATGAGTGGAAAAAGCGACTCGTTGGGCTTCATGGAAAAACGTTGACAGGAAAACAAAGTTTTCTTACAAGTCGCAAAGCAGACAATGGAATGTCTGGTTTGGATTTGTACACAACAAACACCAAAAACTTGAGAGCTCTACAAGTCGATCAAAGCACATTTTAGGGATTAAAATATGGGATCACAATCATCGTCAAATCCCTGACACGAGTCTTCGCACAATCTGTAATCTGTCCTGGACCGCCTGACTAAAAATAGACAACAGTGACCCACATTTGTCAACAGGATGAAGCGACTGAAGACAACAGGTTCTGAGTTGTCTTCATCACGTGAAAGTCGGTGAAAGAGATGAAGTGGCAACGAGCGCAACGTGCCCCCCCTGCAGCAGTTCAAGAACAAGACAACCATTAAAAGCGGGAAGAGGGTGCGTGCCACAGTGAAGACTTTGCCCGAAATAACTGCAGTACATTAAATTAGTACCGAGCAGAGGGGGTCAGCAACTTAGTTTGAAACGACATCAGGCCAACCCTCGACTCATAATATCTTCGCAGAAGTGATGTAACGTTACCAATCGCTCATGGTTTGGTTTGATCGGGGTATTGTTGTTATGATGCAATATCGTGTGAAAGCTCACAACCTTTCATCAAAAAGACATCATCTGTTCTCAGGCACTTTTGTCCCCCCCGTTGACATTCGTACGACCCCAAAACGGCAGCAATAATCACGCTGTGTTCACATTAACTAAGGATTACAATGGAAAAATAATCTGTTCACTGATTTGAAAGGATTTGTCACATATTTCTTATTCTAACATTGGAAATGTGATATTGCCAACGAACAGTGATTGCACTGGAAAAAAAAGTTTTTTTTTTTTTTACAATAATCCGGACTCATCTTTGCACAATATTCTGATTAATACTGCATTTATGGAGTATCAACTAAGCAGCGGAATCCATCCGATTTTATCCACCTCGGAGGGCAGCAGTTTTGCCCCTCGCTGTCAACTGAAAATGACATCGCGGTCACGGTGCTTTAGGGCTCAGCTTGCAAACATCACATGACCAAACCCTGAAAACAGGTGAGTCACGACGCTCTTTACATTTTATGTATGGATGTATATATAATATAAAAAAAAATATATAACATAAAATAGATGCGATATCTAATAATTATACATATGTACACACGCGCACGCACACGCACACGCGCACACACACACACACACACACACACACACACACACACACACACACACAAATCCATCCCTAATTTAATGTAAGGCACAAAAATACAGAACGCTCTCCTGCAAGAGTTGAGTGATCAAAAATTGCAACTATACAACACATCAAACAGTCGTTATGAAGCAAAACAAAATAAACAAACTGTCCTCTATGAACTGCCGGCCCACACTAACAAATAAAAACGCTCCACATCAGCAGAATCATGTTCAAGTTATGTTTGCATGACTAAGCTGGCCCTGCAGATGGCAAAAAAAATGGTTGTCCTCCCATAAATAGTGCAAATATGTCACAGAGGTCATCCTACCTGGCCTGATTTGTTCCCAGCTCCAGTGCTGACCAATGGCGGAAGGTTGGAATCTGCCTCTATGGTGGTGACAATCACCTCCTCTTTCTCAAGTACGGGTTCACAGACCTCCAGAACCTGCAGAACTTCATCGGCTGCCTCCATCACGCTAGCCGTGCACGTTTCAAAATCGTCAGCCATCATACTTTGTCCTCAACCGGTCCATCACAGTGCTCGGCCAGTCCGTGGAAAACCGACGGACTGCACAACGCGGATTTGAAGCCGAGTAATGCATGAGACCACTTTATGTATACAATTTTCCCATGGTGCCTGGGGAGGTTACTGCACGTCACTTGCCTCTTCATGTTGTGTTTGTGTGTGCCAGGGTGGAGGGGGGTGGGGTGGGGGGGCGCTCTTGATGGAGGTTAGGGAGAAAGAAGAAAACGGGGAGAATGTGAGAGTGATGAGACGATGTCGTGGGAGAAGAGATGGAGGGTGGGATAAAAGGACGGCGAGATAAAGAGAAAGAGGAGGGGGAAGTGGTCGACTAAATAAACATTGGTGCACACCATCCCGCCGGGCTAAGAATAAACAAAATAGCGATTAGTCGATGCACTTCTCCCATCATCTTCTTCTTCACTCTTCAGCGATCCTTTTTTTTTTCTTTTACTCCCTTCAGGCGTACTTCATTCTTCTCCCGTCGTTTGCCTCGGCACCACTCTCCGCCCATTGCTTCTGACCCAGTGAACACCGGGGGAGAGAGCGTGTGCGCGCTTAAGAGCAACCGTAAAACAAGATGCAGACAGCAAAATGCAGAATTTTCCGGCAAAACGATAAATAATAAAAGTCAGGCTGCAGCGGCACTTTGGCAGATGGACGCGCAACACGCGCAAAATGTGAACATCGAAATGGGAAAGGCTGCAATCGTGATCGGCAACAGCGACATATACCACACGACTACTGTATCAGCAATTCGCTTACAGTGTTTTATTCTCGGTTTAAACAGCGATAAAACACTTTGGGTCACAAATCTCAAGCGTGAAATCTGCTTTTTTGTGCAGGAAAAAACCACAGTATCGTTCCTTTGAAAAAGGCCAAATTTGCTTTTTCGCAGCACAGTATTTCGACATACTAAAACACGACATAATAGGACACAGGGAGTTAGCAGGATTATGCAAAAAAAAAAAAAAAAAAAAATCAAGACACATCTACGGACAGGCATAAAAACAAATCATAAAAAATACAACATAACGCACAGCGTAGTAGTTGTAGTTTGCGGAAATCGTGTACGCGTTGCTCTTCAACAAGCCATCCGGTGACATCTTGTGCCAAGCGCTCCGCAAAGTGCCGCTTTTACTGTCGTAAAGTGACACAACGTGGTGTTGTGTCGTCTCGCACAACGTCTCTGACCAGTAAAAGCTCTCCTGAACACACGCTGTTGTCTGTGTATTATGAGACATAACATTTTGGTCACAAAGACGGATTTCGACTTCATCGTGCCGGTGCTCTTTCTTTCCTGACTGTGTCACCTCGTTGGCGGGACAGTTCGCCACACCGCAGGGTGCGATCATCCCTCCACAGCAGCAGACTGGCAAGTCCAGACTCCCTCCGTAAATTGGCTTGTTGTGAGACGAAACGCCAACCACACGTGATGAGTCGACGTCAAGCATTAAAAATCAAATTGGGCCAGTCAAGTTGACTCATCGACGAAATGGCCCAATGCGTTTGAAGGAGTACATTTTCAGTTTTCAGTCCCGATGGCATCATTTGGCAGAGTCTACCGCCCGGAATCATGAAGGCATTGCTAGTCTGTTCGTCATCATCCAAGAACCACAATGTAGCCTCCAGAAGGGCAAGCACACATTAATCACTTTTGAGAACTTGACATTGGCAGATGTTGGCGCTCAACTTAAGAGACATTCTATTTAATTATGGTCATCTTGGTAGAATACATTATACACACACACACACACACACACACACACACACACACACACACACACACACACACACACACATTTTGTGTGCGTGTGTGTGTGTGTGTGTGTGTGTGTGTGTGTGTGTGTGTGTGTGTGTGTTTGTCTTCTGTTTCTTTGTCCAACGGCAAGTATTGCAACCTCCATTTTTCCAGATCCAAGTGAGTCATTCTGGGTGTGTCTACTTTTGTATTCCAACAGTGGATCTTTGTTCAGAGTCATTCTCTATCTTCCATAGGAATTAGGTAAGAGGCTCCGCCTCTGCTCGGTACCAAAGTGAGCCGCCTGCTACTTTTACACAGTTTACAAAAAGCAGTCAGCGAGAGCGCCAGAGAATGATCACATCTTTGCAACAATGGAAGTGGAATTAGTGAAAGACAAATTCGTTCTCAAACCGAGGCTATTCTTTTATGCCAAGTCGAAGGAACACAAAATGTTGACTGCCCACTGCTCTCCTCATTTTTCTGCCTTGACTTTACTGAACTGTGTGACATGAAGAACCAGGTACTGGTGAGGCAATTGTTTGTTGGTTTTGTTTCAACAAAGATGAAGGAACACTAGAATTATAGCTCGAGCAAAGGCACCCCCCCCACAAATCGGACAGGTCATCAGTAGTTCCTTCCTCTGATACGGTGCAAACTGCCTCCCGTTTAACCCAACAATCAAACTGCGACTTGCACTTCACCTAGAGATCCACTTGAACGCAACAATAGCGACGGGTCGAAGTGAGCCGAACCACGTCCACTAATGTGGCGTCACAGCACTTCGTCTTTGTATGTGTGCGTACGCAGGCGAGCAAATCCAGAAGCAATGTCCCCCCCGCAGGCCACAGTATCGAGTAAAAACACAAAGGAAGGCAAGCGGCACTCCGTTAAAATTAGACACGAGCATAAACAAACGCGGGCAACGTTCACGGAGCTTTCCAACGAGGCAAAAGTAGACGGCAAGTAGGTCAGTAAAATTACAGCAGCGTTTGATTTACTTCTGTCTCGATTGCACTCCCGACTGTGAGAGTTGCTTGTTTGGCAACAAGACACGTTTGATGCCCGATGATGGACAAGGCAGCCAGACAAGGTCACCAACATCCATATGACCTTCAGGTAACAAGCTGTCATCGCTGGACTCATGAGGAAGTTAGAAGAAGCCTTTGATGCAACATGGATAAGAAAGGCCGCAATCTTGCGGGAGCATACTGGCTTCAAATGTGGACCAAATGTGGCAGGATGGCAGATAGAAAGTTGACAATAAATGCAAAACGTGAAATAGACGACGACATTTGAGGGACTCCAATTTGTTGGGGGTGTCAATATATCCTTGATTGTATTACGCAGTCTAAATGTCTGTCAAAGCAGGTGCTTTGTATGAGAATCACGCGGATACTACAAAAGAAAAACGAAATACGGTATTTAAACCCATTGGGTAATCCTGCGCCATCGAATGACAGGTAGCAATAGACCAGGAAGTAATGATCACTTTCATGCTAGAATGTAATTATTATTATATACCGTATTTTCCGGACTATAAGTCGCAGTTTTTTTTTCATAGTTTGGCCGGGGGTGCGACTTATACTCTGGAGCGAACTGTGTGTGAAATTATTAACACATTATTATATCATTTCGCGTGTTATTTTCACACAAACCACAAGAGGGCGCTCTCGGCCTGTGTTGATAAGTCGACGAAGAGTCTGACGTAAGCGACGTTTCTTCTACCTACGGAGTTGGCGGAGTTGTTTAAAAGTGACACCGAGGATGAAGATTTCATTGGATTTTGTGATTTGGTTTGGTTTGACACTGATGGTTTGGTCAACTCGTTAGCATGCTCTTTATGCTGTAGTTATCGGAATAATTCTTAATGTGTTGCGTGAACATACAAGGTACATTCTCAGTTCGTTGTTTATGCGTCATCTAACGTTAGCATATCGTACACGTATTCAGACTGTTGTTCTCATGTATTTTTATTTTAAATTGCCTTTCAAGATGACATGTATGTTCTTGGTGTTGGATTTTATCAAATACATTTCCCTCAAAAATGCAACTTATACTCCAGTGTGACTTATGTTTTTTCTTCTTCTTTATTATTCATTTTATGGCCGGTGTGACCTATACTCCGGAGCGATTTATAATCCGGAAAATACGGTATTCATTTTGGAGATGGATGCATGAATGTTTTACTCCCCCTTGTCCTCATTCAGGTAACAGTCGGAGTCTAACCCGGTCGGCTACGCACTAGAGTGGTTACCAATGGCTTCATTAATATATCTGACTTCTCAGAGAAGCCGGGAAAACTGCTCCAATTTTTGGGTGAAGGTTAAATTCAGCTTGAAACAAACATTAGGAGCTCACTAAATATGAAAAGATTCTGCATTGAATGAATTCATGATGCTGGATGCTCTCTTCTCATTTCCATGACAGGTGGTCGAATACATTTACTAAGCACTTTACATTATTGTGATTTTAATGTAAAGTGGTGGACTGCGCTGCATCATCCTAAAAGCAGGTAACAATATTTTGACCACAAAAAAAAAAACAAAACAAAACAAAAAAAAAAACGTATTTCAACAAGGTGACTAAAAAAAGACGAATAACAGCAAAAGAAAATAGTTGAGGCAATATATCTTTCACCACTGCACACCACAACCGCAATACTAACCAGAAGATTCAGACCACGTTAAGGAAAAATAATAGGATTTCAAACACAGCGCACAGGCAATTTTTTTGATCTCACTGTCCAAATAATCCGGAACAATTTAGAGCAGATGATGGTATGACAGGAGAAATACATCCAGGCACATAATGTATATTTCTGATTGTATGCAAAAGCAGAATAATTCCTGTCATCATGTGAATGTAATCCCATAGATGCAAAATAGGAATCATTTCTTACCTTATATTTGTCATTTCTCAACCAATCCATCACATAATAGATGCGTTGTCATCTTCTATCGACATATGCACGATGGCTGAGCACACACTTTGAGTTGTCTCAACTAAGCAGCTTGGCCTGGTCCATTTCGGGGTGGGGGGGCCGACAGAAGCATTTGAGACAAACCGAGCGACTCCTCCCAAGGATTAACAGGGCTTTCGCTCCAAACTGACAAACCATCCATCTAGAGACGAACTTCGCAGCCTACTAGAATTCTGCATATTTGCGCAGACATTTATCAACCCAAATGCAGCCGACGAGTGGACCGGTCCCTTCTGGTAAATAGCAGATGGCCTGTCGTCACACCGATAAGCACATTTGACAACGTCACCTCATTTTGACTTGTGCTAAGTCTCTCGAGCGCCCAACCTCGAGCGCCCAAATGGGTTCATATTACCGGCACCGTTTGGACAGGGAGATTTAAAACAATGAATACGAGGCTTGTTCATTGAAGTCAGATGATACGGGAGAAGGTTGTGTGATTAGTGATGGTCCGATTGTCCTACCTGGACCTGCTCGCCTCGAACAGCGGCGTCACCCAGCAGTGGCTCAGCGGGAGCAGGGTTAATAGTGACTGATTTTTCAGAGCGGCTGTCTTTGCTGCGAGACTTGTGGCGATCCCGGCTTCTCTCCCTGAAATAGAAAATAAATTAATTAAAATAAATTCTAACGTTACCTTAATTTCCCGATTGGCCTTAAACAGGGGTGTCAAACTCATTTCACATTGCGGGCCCCATACGGCCTCGGTCGATGTCAAGTGGGCCGGACCATTAAAATTATACCATACTCGGCTATAAATAACCAAAATAATATGTCTTTCCTTTGTTTTGGTCTAAAGAAGCACAAGAACATTAGGAAAATGTTGAAATTTAATGAACATGTCTTTAACAAACCATTTCATGAAGCACCTTAGATTTCCTGGCTTAGACAAATGTGCAATTTACTTTGAACATTCACATATATGCATTGCAACTGATCCCACTGATTGTACAAAGGCACAAAACTTTATAACAAGTAATTGGTATTGAAAAATATAGTAATGCATTTTAAGATTAAATGAGATTTATATAAAAAGGAATTTTTAAACCATTTACACATGTGCACATAAAATCTAAATGTAATCCCTGCCTACATTTTACAAACCAAGGAGAGTGCTATTAAATGTGTAAAGAAGAAAGTATTCACATGTCCTTGATAGCGTCTGCTGTGTTGGGTCTGTCTCAGTGACAAACTGAGACTGCTGTTGTCTTCTACTGTGATCAAAACAGTGTATCCCCTAGCGGATACTCCATGAATTGCACCTTATTAAAAAATATTCATTCCGTGTCCTTTATGCATTTTTTCACCTTTAAATGATCCTGCGGGCCTGATCGAACCTCCTTGGGGGGCCGGTTCCGGCCCGCGGGCCACATGTTTCACACCACATGGTCTAAAAGAAGCATGATGTGCTAACCTAAATGTTCTACTTGGAAGTGTAAAGCGCTAAATAAATAGAGACTGTCAGTGAGAGAGATAATCAATATTAATTTTCAAACAATGTTCGGCTTGCGACAAAATCTAATTCCTGACGACTTAATAGGGGCAACGTGATCCACATACAACCCAAACATGCGCTCCAACATATGAGCTCCATTGACCGCCCGTGCATTTACACTTCTAATCCCGTGTCAAATGTAACCAGCATTAATCAGCGTCCTCTGTCCGGCAGCACTCTGGCGACTTGGCACCGAGCCCAACGCGGATCCATTACTACTGAGAAGCTGGCATGCGTGGCCTCAGTTAATCCCTCATCTGGCTTTTTCACATTTTGCCTGCGGCCATCTCGTGTCAAGAACAAAAAACACCAAATGACAATTCGGGAATTAAAAGCAAAGAATGACGTTCGGTGCTACAGAAGATAACATCACAGTTGCTCAGGACTCAGCTTGCGACCAACACTGTCCAAAGGCGGAAAAGAGCTGAGCCATGATTGGTCCTGAGCAAATGTGATGTCATTTTCAGTCGACAGCAAGTGGCAGCATCAGGCAAAATGCCCCCCCCCCCCTGAGATGGATCAAAACCTTTGCTGCTTAAATCATTTTCCGCCAACTCAATATTCATCAGAATACTGTGTTTTGACAAGTGGGGCCTCACACAACATATTGTCGAAACAAAAATGCTTGACTTGACTTCCCCTTCAACACCACCCAAAAGTGAGAAAAAAGGTTGTGACGCCGCACTAATAAACGGCGCTCTTGAATAAAAGCTCAAACTTCCAACTTTTATACAATTACCCTTAGCGATCCCCGACGCAAAGTTACAGGACATCCTGGCGCCGTGAGAAAAGGCAGAAAGAACCTGTGAGTGACAGTGCTGGCATCGCTACAGGCTAGCGGGGCTGTGTTTTGATTCGAGGGTGTGAACCACACTGCTTTCCGCTTCTATTCTTGTACTTCCCTTCCAATAGGAACATGACGGATCATCGCGCAGACACATACAAGTGAAAACATGACCCCCATCGCGGAGGCAAATCAAGCTGGAGAATCGAAGAAGCTGCGTGGCCGTTACATTATATTACATACACTTGCACATTTCTGTATGCTGAGCATCTTCGGCTATTTCAAGGTTAAGACGTTGCCGTCCCGACTTGCCAGCGATGGGATATTAAGATTTTCTAGGAATCTTGTCGAAGTGAGCATCTGACTATGTAAACACTGGCAAAATGTTTTTGAAACAAAGTGGGAGAAATTATTACCATTGTCAGTGTCTTCACAAAAATGACATTTTTAACAGGCACATAAAATAATAATAATATTAATAATAATATTAATGAAGGTAACTTGAGCAAATTTGCTATCTCACAATTGCGTGACCAAACTGGTAGCCCTTCGCATTCATCAGTAGCCAAAAAGTCGCTCTCAGCTTCGAAAAAGTTGGTGACCACTGGCCTTGAAGGTGTTGAAATAACCAGGGACAGGAATTTCAAATAGATTTTTTTTTTTTTGGGGTGATGCCCGGTATGCCAAGATATTCACTTTTCACTACAATTTTGAGAACATTAGCCCTGAAAGACATTACAGGATATAATCAATACGGTAACGCGATGCTTTTTAAAAATCATTCCGATTACAGTTGGTAAGATAGTGTCCAATGTGTGTGTTGCGTGTTTACCCCATTCCACGTCTGCATCTGTTCCTGAGAGTGTAATTAGACAGCAGTGATCCGAAGCTGCCTCCTGCATGGCACCCCTTCGGTGGTGTATAAAGATTACCTTCTGACTACCATGCCCAGGGCCTTGAAAGGCAACAACACTTGTTTTCTCTCCAATTAGGCAGCAGACGGTGGATTTGGGGGAGTGGAAAAAGCACCTGGTAGGGAATCCTTCAATGTTCCATTGCCAATTTTTGCCAATTGTTTGAAACCCCCCCCCCTCCGCTATCAGGAAGCCGTGGCCAAGTGGATAACAACATTGGTTGACACCGTGGGGAGCCCGTTGCACACCCGCGGCTGTCGTGCCCTCAAAGCAAGGCAGTGAAAACCCTGACCTGTGCTGCCGTGCGTGCAACTGAGATGGGAACCGTCAAGGAAGACATTCTTAAGCGCCATTAAAATCGCCAAGCCAATTTCCTACATGACTGTCGCTAGCTTCCTTTCCATACTTTACACACTTAACAATTCTGGTTGGAAATGCAATTACACACACAAAGGGAAAATGTTGGTAACCGTCAGCTAAATAAATTGAACAATAAAACACTAAAGCAACCGAGGAGAGTGCAATTTGGACAAATGAGATAAATGCTACATAGTGTACATACACTGTTTAAAAAGAAAAAATTGGGTGTAACATAGGCGCAGAATCTGCACATTCAACGGATTTTGTGATAATAAAAATAATAATAATAATAATGAATTCAAAATTTTTAAAAAAGGATATCTATACCACAGGTGTCAAATTCAAGGCCCAGGGGCCAGATCCGGCCTGCCAGATCATTTTATGTGGCCCGCGAAAGCAAATCGTGTGTCAACTTGCTAAAATATGTACTGAATTGTGAAATTGTCATGTGTAATAAATAACGTTGAGATTTAGCAATAATTTTGATGTCCTGTTTGCACTCATTTGAACAATAATTGAACAAATTATTATGATTGGCTGATTTCTAAACTAGTCATGTATTAATTTGTCGTGTACAAATAATCATTTTGTGGTTTCACTGTCATAACGGCCCTCCAAGGGAAGACGCAACTCCAAAATGAGTTTGACACCCCGGTCCTAACACTATTATTAAATGCTTCGTTTTCAATGAACAGTGTCAATAAAGGTATCTGGCATGAATAGCGAGATATAAATGTGTTCAGCCCTACGACCAAGTCAGTATTTTCTGAGCTTTCTTTTTCCGAAAATGTCAGCAAACCAATTTTTTTGCAGAACATCACATCATGGGCAGAATCTGCCAGGGCTGGCTTTGCACAAACGTGATCTTGTTCACATAGTGATTAGCTCCTGTTCTCTGTAGCCGTATCAGCATTAAATTAGAATCGGTTCTCAATGGCCTTACCTGGATTTAAAAAAATTAAAAAAAAAAGGTGACTTCTATGTTTTATTTTTTTAAAGGAAAGGAGTTTGATCATCACCAACAGATTCCACCTGGAAAACATGCTGGACTTGTCACTGGAAGGGTCTGGATATTCTCTCCCTTTGTCTCTGTGTGCATGTCCAGTTGCCAAAATACTTTGAAGAGCCTGAAAATGGAGACGCCCTGCACGAATAGCTGTAAATCCTCAATGTTAAAGATGAAACATGCTTTTGTGAAACCTCTCCAATTAAAGATAAAAGCGTGAATGGGTCGGTCTGATGTTGACAAGAAAGGGGTTCGCTCGTCCTATCTGCACAGCCATCAGAAATTAGGCCTGATCGGGCCTGTCAAAGCGGAGCTGTGGTGACACACTAATGCGTAGCCAGAGGAAGAGGAGCAAGATAACCCGATAGCAGCTCCGAGCGTGGCTCAACATTAAAGAGAGGGTAGGATTCCATTTTACCCGTGCCGATGGGAACCCCGTGAGCGCCCAGAGTGGTAGGAATAGCCAGAGTAGGTGGACTCCGTGTCCATGGCAACGCCGCGCCGCAATTCAGCCGGACGTGGTCTGTCCTGTTCACAGGGAGGCGAAGGGTAGCCGTCTTGCTCAGGCGGTCGGTTTGGAAATGAACCCTGAGGTAGGGAAACACCAACCTGGGTGGGGCGAACATAAAGACAAAAAAAAAAAGAAAGATTTACATTTAGAATGTGACAAAATCAAGAAGATGAATTTCAGCAGGTACATCCCGGCTGGATGACTGACACTCTCAACATTGTTGCATTCACGACTTGACTTGGCAATTACTCGCTCCCAGAATCCGCCAAGTTCACAATGACAAACTTCGAAGAAAAGTGGCATCGGGGCAGCTGCGAGTGACTTCATGGGCCGTGTTCGGGGATGTCTGCCTTGCATGACTTTCATTCAAGGATTGACGGGGGGGAGCAAACGCTCATTTTAACAACCCCCATCTCATTGACTGACAGTCGTACGACTGGTTGTCCAATCTCAACTCGGATCAAAGGCTCCTGGAATGCCACCGGCTCGCTGAAGACGACCCCCTCTGTCACCGTCGGGGCGTGTTCGGATCTTTCACGCGGCCGAGACGTGCGCTTGCCTTCTTTTCACTTCAACCTAGATGACTGATAATCACCAGACAACAAATTACTCGGTCTCAGCGGTCAGCTGGGGTGCAGATTCCAGGGATTTTCCATTGAGTCAAGTCATCTGACACTCCAAAACAGCCTTGACTTATTATCGGTTAGTTGATCTTAAAGCAAAAAATAAAAAATAAAAAATAACGCCATTTGTGCACATCGTTTTCTTGATGTTATTGTAAGTCCCCTTCCAAAGCACCAAGTAACAAATTAGAGGAATGCTTTCATGTGTCTCTTCTTACATATGAATATGACAGCATAGATCAATATTTGCCCTGAAGACATCTTATCAATACTGTATGTTGATAAATAATCCTGATTAGGCCGACCAGTGGTTAGCGCGTCAACCTCACAGTGCAGAGGTTGTGGGTTCGATCCCGGCTCCGGCCTTCCTGTGCGGAGTTTGCATGTTCTCCCCGTGCCTGCGTGGCTTTTCTCCGGGTACTCCGGTTTCCTCCCACATTCTAAAAACATGCATGGCAGGTTGATTGGACACTCAAAATTGTCCCGAGGTGTGAGTGTGAGCGCGGATGGTTGTTCTTCTGTGTGTGCCCTGCGATGGGCCCGAAGAGGCTCCAGCACGCCCCGCGACCTTTGTCAGGATAAACCGGATCGAAATATGGATGGATGGATCCTGGTAAGTGATAGAAAATATGTGTGGTGATATATTAATGTAATAATCTGTGGTCTTTTCCAATTATATAATCAGAAAATATGTAATATTGCGTTCTATAGGGTGAAGTGCTGTCGATTTGGAATGCCAATGTGCACAGTGGAAGACAATGTTTGGGGAATTGTTTGTGCTGCTTTTTTTGTGGTGGGAGGGGGGGTATCTTCTTTAAGGCTCTTCATCAGCTGTTTACTCGAGACAGTGAAGACACGGCTGTCATATTGCGCAATCCCAGAAAAGGGTACACCAAAATATCCCCGATGAATCTCACGTCACGGCGTGATGTGCAAAAGAGCGCCCATTTTTACAAATAAGAATTGGCAAAGCAAGACAATAGTTTGAGTCATACTACATGGCTCAAATGACCCTCTTGCATTTTTTTTTTCCTCCCGTGTGGCCCAGTTCAGTTACCATAGCGGTGCAACGAAAAAAACAAACAAAAAAATAGAAGGAACCCGATATACTCTGATCGGATTATACGCGGTGTCATTGTGAGCAGTGCAGGCAGTCTGCCATTAAAACGGAGGAAACAATGTGCAACCCCAAGAAGCCCTTTCAACAAAAACGACAGCATGAAGGGAAAACTCAGTCCAGGCTGAACTAAACACCGTCATCTTTAATATGAACTTTGTTGACTTCCATATGCACGCGCAGCAACATCGACGATGGGTCATGAGAAAGTAGAATGTAAATAGAAAGTAATTGTGCTCCCGAGGCTGTTGAGAAAAGCCGCGGCGTGACAGGCCGCTGGACCGACGTACATCGTTGCTCACTGACCCGAAACTTGTGGATCGCCGCAGCGGCAACGTGAAGCGGCAGCTGTGAATAGGTTTTGTGATATCCCACTGAGCTGTTAGTACGGATTGCAGTGGTTATGGTGCCGTGTTTAGTCCTGGTTTGGCGCAACCGTCGTGAGCCATTGCAGACACGAGTGCCGCCAAGAGCTTCGTGTGTACAACATTTTATGTTGCGAGAAAGGTAAGGTTTTCCATCCTTATAATATATATATATATATATATATATATATATATATA